AGGCCTGACTCTCCGGACATCTGTTACATGAAGCACACGCACGACCCACCCCCAGTTGTTCATCAGTCGCTGTGGCTCGAGCGGCCGCTAGGTTCGCAGCTGCATGAGCAGACAGCTTGAGGCGCCATGGACCCAGGTTTGAAACCCCTTGATCTGGGTGCGAAGCAGATCCGCGGACAGCGGCATGATGGCCCCCCACCTTGGTTGCCATGGCAAGCCGCTCCAAGCTCCTCGTACTTGGACATCTGGGCAACACGGCTCTCACTGATGGGTTTACGACACCCAAGTAGTCGGTGGAGGGCCCATAGCCATAGCAGTCGTCCACGAGCCCATCCATCAGTATTTGTTTGGCCGGGTGTCTGAAGCCTGCGCAGGTACCGGTGGGATGGGCCGAGGTGCAAGGGGAGCTGCAGAGACACGGAGGTCATCAAGGAACTAGCATCTGTCGGGGCAAAGCGCAAAATCCTGACTGACGGCGCCAGATGCCAGCCAATTTCTAGATTGGGCGACAGACACCAAGAGCAGGAATACGCACGGGAGTGTGTGGAGGATGCAGCATCCAGCTCATTTTTGCCGTGCTGCAAATTGAAGGCATCATGAAGCGGTGGAGTATCCTACACTTGGACCGGGGCTGGCCTAGCTGTACTGTTGCGCGCTAGCAGAAGTCTTTGTGACACGTGCAAGATTGTGTGTGTGCGTGTGTGTCTACATCAAGGGTAAACGCCCAACCCGCACCTCGAACATCACTGCCCCCTGATACCACTGTACTGTCTCCTTTCTGGCTGGCATGCCAAACCCAACGATACACACGACGTTGGTAGAACCAACTCGCCACACACAGCACGGGTTCAAGTCTGTAAGTGGCAAATCTTTTTCGGACAACTTCACCTCCTGCCCCCACATCCGGCCTATGAGGAACCGGGCACTTTCAAGGCTTGGCGCATCATCCTTCTGGCCTGAAATGAGCAGCTCAAGCACCCCAAGCGAGTGCAACCCGCAACTCATACAAAAAAAACAACCAACCTTTAAATGAAACGCAAACTGCTGGAGTGAAACAGCCAGTGTGGCCAAGCATGTCAATGCCTCCAGGAAGTTTACCTGCAGGCTAGCCACAAGTGATTTGACCTGGTCCTGTAGGTGTCTTTGTGTGTGTGTGTGTTGTGTTGGCCCCGCCTGACCAAAATCAGAACTAGCAAGTCAACAAAGTGTAAATGGCAAACAGGGGGCAATGGACGGCCCCTCCATTCGTCTGCAAAGACTAGTCACAAACCCCGCTACCATCCCATCCCCCATGGCTTGACCTTGCGCACGCTGCTTCAAGGCCTGGGACCGATACACCTGGCCCAAGGCGCCCCAACGTGACGCGATCATCCGTCGCTGTGCTTCGAGAATCTGAGCCTGGCAGCAGGTTCCCAAGCTTCCGTTGGTGACATGCCTACCACCCACAGGTTCAATCACAGCCCAATCGGCCACAAGAGATTGCGGCGCCGGCCTCGGCCACATCAATGGCAGTGTAGCATAGCCTCACAGGCGCTGGCGGCCCCAGCTATTGTATGCTAGTGCAATATCCTCAGTCCCCTGAACCTGAAAATCACATGGCCCTTTGCCGTGAGAGGCTGAAACAAATTGAGCAGCCAAAAGGTTCGAAGAGTGAATACCTAAAACTGGGAGGGTGCCCTAAACAACGCGTGTCCTACAGTCATAGCCTTTTTCGATGGTAAGGTTTGCAGATCCAGGGCAAACAATAATCTTACCTTTGTCATCCTTCTGAATTGCTGTGCTGGTAAAACCAAAGCAAAATTCGCGCAATTTTTTAAGGCGCCTAACACCCGCCCAGGGGTGAGTCCCGCACCGGACAACTAATCCCTGAATAAAAATACCCATTCTCTATGGCCCTGGGCCAGTTTCTGGCAAGAACCTGGTGTCTGATTGATGGATCCAATTGCGCTGGAAGCCCCCGGTATATGGAGTGTAAGTGTGTGTACAAGGGAGCGAGTGCAGCGAGCTCTTTTGCTAGGGGCGAGTTTGGCCTCTAATGATAGAAAAGGGGCCTTGAGCCATGCAAGTGATTGCCTAAAGGTCAATGGTCTTCAAACCACAGAACGAAACAGATACAAATGTCTTTTGCCCTTTGACACCGAACTACAATCTCAAGGCTCTGTGCCATAGCCGTATTTTGTATTTGCCGTAACCCTTGAGCAACACTTAGATCGATTACCCGAAGGGACACTCTCTTTTGTGACTCGGACATGTTGGATTTGTCTGATATCTACATGGCTTGTACAAACTGAGTGCAACTTTTTCTAGTTCGTGCACGAGAATTGACATCCAATTATGTCAAATGATTCGGCATCTTATGTGTCTTGAAGATGAACTGGCTCGAAAAAGGCAAGGACTGAAGTGTCCTTGTGAGACTACCGACTCTCTCAATTCAGGAAAAGATGCAAAAAGAAACGATCTCGTGAGGATGTTGACTGGTCGGTCATGTCGTTGTGCCGCT